ACGCACGGGCCCGCAAACTGTAACAAGCATATAAGGTAAAATGATTTGACAAGTTGCAAACTGTAAACAATCATAACTTTTAGATATTCACCCCTGTGAGATCTAGTCCAACATCATGGCCATCGGTAAGCGCTGAATTATGTCTCCTAATTTATAGTAAAGATATTGAAATTCAATTGTTTCGGACATTCGGATAACGTGCATTACACTAAATCAACTATATTACCATGGTATCCTATTATTTGCAGGTAAAACACCACTTCTTTGGGCTTCAAAAAAGTATAGAGAATAACCTAATAATTTAGAATATTCATTCCCAGTTTGTGGTATACCAGGAATATTTTCACAAGAAAACGGTTGTGCATGAGTTGGAGCTAATGGTTGTGTATTAGTTGGAGCTAATGGTTGTACATTTGCTGCAAGAGGTTTTTGAAATTCTTCTTTTAATGATTTTAGAAATGATTTCATTCTTAAAAGAATTGTGTTTTAAATTATAGCACTTGACCCTGCTGAGTCTTTATGTTGCGGACCCAAGGTGGTCGCAAAACTTTTTTTAGATCCATGCACCTAACGCTAGACTTGTTATAGTGATATTACTAAATTTTTGCACAGGTGAGCTCTTTACGTTAATACGTATAACGATAATGAATTTACTATTTTTAAAAAACCTAAATGTTTCTTTACTATAACATCACTTGTGTATAACGATAATACGTAATTGTTTTTAAATTTCTCGATTTGAAACCCTGAGTTACACTACGTAGTGGTTAAGATAACTTTAGTCAATTGACGAACCTAGCATAGAGAGCCCAGATTATGCATTGCTATGCTATGCGATGTGATGATTTCATGTGCATATTTTGTATTGTTATAAATTTGAATTATCGTTGTACAGTATATGAATTTAAGATTATAATAATTATTCGCTTAAAATGCCCGCACAAATGCCGCATAAATCTCGTAAAAACAATAATAATTATCGCATTTTATGTGCTTAAAGGTGATAGCGATAGTGCTTCACTAAATGTGTCGCTTAATATTTCATTCGCATTACTTGTTTATGCGCGCCATGCAACAACCGCTGATAAAACTCGATCGTATACGAATTTTGCATTATCACAAATTGATTATACGTTGGGAAAGAATCCGTTGAATAAAGTTTATGTCGTCGGTGCACATCACAGTTCGCCAAAGAATCCACATCATGCTGGTGCGAGTGGAGGAACTGATATCGGAAATATACGCCACCCGCCAGTGTCAAGGTATGTTTTATACGGCGCTGTTGTTGGAGGACCGGATAAAAAAGACAAATATAACGATGATAGAGAAGATTATGCTAGATCAGAGGTTTGTTCATAATTTAATATCATTAATTGTTAATGATTTAATAAATTTTTTTTAATTTTTCTTCTCTTTTTACGATCAAATAATAGGTGACACTAGATTATAATGCGCCATTTCAAAGTTTAATGGCTTACCAAGTGATGCATGCTAATTATCCACCGCCTTATCTCGCATTTTAACTGCTTAAAATGTCTACAGTCATCCCTCTCTATAATCACACAGTTGTCTATCTGGTGATAATATAGATGTGTGACTATATTAAAGTACCTCATACAGAATTGTATATCATATAAAATAAATATACTACGTAGCCATGCAATGCATGGGCAAATTTTAATATAGATTTAAATAAATTTATATACTGTAAACTTAATCTAATATTTTGCTCCGGGTTGCTCCAAATTTAAAGACGTAATTTAAACCACTCCAACTTGGGTTGGGTTCTGCTCCGGAGTGCTCCGGAGTAAGCTACTCCATTAACAACCCTACCCGGGCCTGAGAGCTAGTTATTTTTATTGATTGGATTGTAGCGGAAGACTCGATTTCCGTGCAAAATAATCGTTCTTGATATATTTTTAATAAGATTATCAAAAACGTAACTTTGAATTATTGTCTTTCATTATGCAATGGTGATTTACAAAAAATTCAAGTTACGTTTTTGATATTTTTATTAAAAATGCATCAAAAACGATTATTTTACACGGAAATTGAGTCCTCTGCTATGCTCCAAACAATAAAAATAAAAAAAGGGAACGCCTATTTCCCCACCATGAAAATTTACTATTTCCACCATTTGACGTAAATTGTCATGACATTATGTTCGTCATGTTTATGTAACTGAAAGTCATGAAAATCAATGGTGGAAATAAGCGTTCCCATAAAAAAATGACATTGTTAAACATGTAAAATGAACTTGACAAATAAAATTTTATTTGCGATTCGCTGGTTCAAAAGTTATTGCAGTTTTGAATTTTATATGTTTTTACTATTAAACTATCGTTGATCTATAAAAAAAAATTTAATTTGTAATTAGATGAATACCCCAACGGTTCATCGGTTATTTTTTATTGATTTGCGTGCTGAAAATTTACATTTTTTTAAAAAAATCCAAAACTTGAATAAATGAATTTAAATTCCTTGCCACATATTTTTACCCTTCACTTAATGAAGAATATAAATCATTCCAGAGGAATCATCTTTTTTCAAGGGCACGGTTATAATTGCAACATTTTGCAGCCAAAAGAAAAAGCAACTGTTGTCGTGTGACTTCACAAATAAATTGAATGACTTTTTTTTAAAAAAAGAATTAATCTTGGTTCATTATATACAGTGCTTATTAGTTAGTTATTCACGCGCATTTATGCTTGTCGATCGATTTTTTCCACCTATCAAACCACGACAGTTAGGTGCCCCACAAAAGCATTCTTGCTCTTGAGCGCCGCTAAATGTGGAGAAGTTATAATCATAAGTTAACTCAGCTCCTGGTGCTATAACATATGAAGCAAATACACCAATAAAATGTTCTCCATTTGGCGCTCTCCTATCAATCGCAACAGTATTAATTAACATGTGATCCATAATGTGCAACGAATGATATCTAGCAACCCTTATACGTACCATTTTTCAATATGACAATTCGGTGCACAGCTTAATTGCAAGAGAAAATTAAATTTAAAATGGTTGTTCTTTTTTTTGACATTAGAAACACCAAATTAGATCTTACCTACGATTAATAAATCTAGCTAGCGTTCCACACATTGCACCGTCAACAACTTCACCTTTGTCATATTCAAGAAAGTACACGCTCTTTCTATGCAAATATTTTGTCTCCATTCTCTTTCTGGCCGTACATTTAGACATCACCTCCCCTCGATATTCTAAAATCAATTGATCTTTTTTAATTTTAACGAGTGTGCGAAGTCCAAACCCTCTGTTTTTAGTCTGAATCATCAAGACAATTGCGAGAGACCAAATATAATCACAAATAAGCATAGATAAGTATAAATAAGTATGATAGATTAGTTACGAATTCTCTTAATGAAATTGAGTGAAAAAAAAAATATATATACCTTAAACACTTCTACGTTTTTAATTGATTCTTTTCTCTGGAACCTTTGATTAGAGCATTTTTCTCCACAAGGACAATGTTTTGGAGAGCATTCGTAAAACATTATCCTTAAAAATTTACCGAGTTAATTATAAAAGAAATGATCAAAATTAAAGGATGAAATCATCTTATACCTATTAAAGCATTCTTCGGTGCAACCAATTTCACCTTCACCACATGGCTTGCAATTGCAAACGATTGGGTCATCATCTTGTTTACGCTTACGATCAACAAATATATCTGAAATATATCGAAAATATATCTTCAAAATCCTCTTTTTTTTGTTAAAAAAAAAAAAATAAAAATAAAATAAAATAAAGTTGACAAATCAAATTACTAGTTTTAATCTGTTTAAATCCCTTTTGTAGTAACCCTTGTTTATGAGCAGTCATTATATCCCATGGAATACAGAAATTTCGCTGATCTTTTATGAGAAATTGACCATATTGTGTAGGGAGTGGAAATATTTCCAC